CCTCCGGCTCCTTAATCACGGTTATTGCTCTTTGAATTCCTCCCATCTTTCTGGTATGAAGGTGCTCAGGAAAGGCTATGACCAATTATGCTAACACCAGCTGATGGTAACAATAATCATCAGATTGTCTATTATGCTGGCAAGTAACGGCCCATTATTCCCTCTGGATCTGGAGGGAAACTCTAGTTCGGGCCTAGAGCCTGGAGATTCAAGTCTCAGCGTTCATAGATTCATAGATTCTAGGACTGGAAGAGACCTCGAGAGGTCATCGAGTCCAGTCCCCTGCCCTCATGGCAGGACCAAATACTGTCTAGACCATCCCTGATAGACATTTATCTAACCTACTCTTAAATATCTCCAGAGATGGAGAGTCCACAACCTCCCTAGGCAGTTTATTCCAGGGTTTAGGCATGTTTGGATCTGGGATTCTGGTTCAAGTCCATGAGAAAACTCAGGCTCACACCTGCTTCATCCACGTCTGTTCTTTTCCAAAGCCCAGGGGGGCTCGGCTCTCGGGGCCCTGCTGTGAACCCCTCAATCTATTGAGCGAAGGGGCGGAGTTCCAGACATGCAACTGCTCCTGTGCTTCCGATACTGCCCTGAAAGCCCGGGCTGGAGCCCACCCTGGCAAGGGCATCTCCGAGCATGCGCCTTCCTGAGCGGGCAGGGGGAGCTAAAAGGAAAGCAGACAAATGAGGCATTCATATTGCTAGTGCCCAGAGGACACAATATCCATTTAAATACACCGAATGCAATCAGGAGAAGGTCATTAATAGCTATTGCTTTTGCAGCTGGCTAGGATAATAGTTTAAGTGGTTAGTGAAATTCTCATCCAGGGACTGAAGGTGCTTGCAAAACACAAGGAGAGAAAGGGGGTAGGGGGGAGTCCAGAATCCGATGACTAAAGCCATCCGTCACCTCTCCCCATGCTTCCGGCTGCTTTTCCTACCAGGCGGGCACAGCCCTGAAGAAGTGGCGCTGCCCGTGGGTGACCTCGTGCGTCAAGCTCGCCCGATGGCTGCTCATTACTTTTTCATTAGGTCCCCGTTATGACACGCATTAGCCCCAAGATGAATGAGGAGGCGGCGGTAGGTTGGGGGGTGATTTATTGAACCTATCCGTCATTCACATGGCATCGTCCTGCCGCTCTGGTCCTGCCCCGGCTGGAAGCAGAACTTTTGGGAGCCGTTCTGTAAAGGAGGACGGCTTCAGTGAGAAGAAATCTCACAACGGGGAAACGGGTCAGAAATCACTTGCAACAGCTGCATCAAAGGGGTGCGTGTGAACGCGAGGGAGCCCCCAGGCGGAGCAGGAAACACACCTTCCACCTGTCCCGGATTACTTCCTCTCAGGACTTGTGACTAAAGGCTGCAGCTGTTTCACGTCCATCAAAGAGCTGGATTTCATTCCCAGCAGGCGCCCAGGACCCAAACCCAACCGGACAAGTGGGGAAGAGGGTTCTTGCCTTTTCCCTGTCAGGTCATGACTTTCCAACAAGCAAAATAGATCTGGGGGTTCCTGTGGATCTGTGTCTCCTGGCCCTCCACTCTGGCTTGTGATGGCTGGACAGAAAAGGAAGGGGGGGGAATCTAAAAGTGGGAGGGAGCCTGGCCTTTGCCCAGCTGCGAGAGACGTTTGGTGAAAGACACACTGCGCCACTGCCGGGCTAATGCGCTGAAATCCCAGCTGCCGGGCCCAGGAGTCGGATGGGCTTAGCAGGGCCCAGCCGGGTCGGGATCTGTCAGAGCTGCTCTGCAACGTGCGGGAGCCGAGGTGGCTGGATGCAGAATAGCGTGGGGTTAGAACTCACGACCGAGGGGGGTCAGGAGCCGTTTCCAGTCCCAGGGGAGGCTGGGATTCGTTTGATGGCATGGGACTTTCCCCCGCTGCCCCTGCACCTCCTTTACTCTCTTCCTGCCTCCACCTTGGGGTCCCTGGGCTTGGCCCATCTCCCAGGGGAGCTGGGGTTTGGGGCAAAGGTTCAGGCTGGCAGTGGTTACTGCCCAGCCAGACCAGGTGCTCAGATATCCCCCAGGCGCTCAGCCTTGCCGCGATGGGCACCGCATAGGACCCACAGCAACAGGCCGGTGTAGACCCCACAGTGTTGGCTGGGCCATGGACCCTGTGGTGCTGGGTGGGCACATGGACCCACTGCGCTGGGCAACACCCAGCCCCTGCGGTGACAGGTATAGCACCCGCCCTACAGCAACAGGCAGGGCGAAGACCCCGCCGCACCGGGCACGTGGGGCCCGGACGCCGTGGTGATGGCCAGGCGGGGCGCAGACCCCGCGGCGACAGGTGGGTGGACCACAGGAAGCCGGATGGTCTCCGACTTCAGCGCCGTGCCAGGCCAGACGGGGCCCCGCATGACTGCCTGGTGCCAGGCTGGGGGTGCCATGCAGCCCGGAACCAGCCCCACGAGGATTTCCTCGGCACCCCACCCGGCTGGCACACATGGGAGCACACCCCGGCAGGTGCACGTCAGGGCTGACACGCGGGTCAGACCCACCAGCAGGAGCCAGCCAGGACATGGGAAGCGCAGCCTGATTTCTCTGGGTGCAGAGCGCCCTCTGCTGGGGCGCCCAGCTCCCTGCAGGAGGGAGCGGGGAGGGGGGTGAGGGGCAGAGCTAAGTGGCGAGTTCAAGTCACTGTTACGCACCCAGGGGTGAGCACTGGATTAGCCAAGGGAAAGCATTGGCCAGGTGGGAGCTCATCAGATAGGGGTGATCAGCCCCCCAGCCGCACACAGAGTCTCAGGTGGATCTAGGTTTGGATGCTGCAGGTTGCCACTCGGCTCCTTCTCTCCCTTGTATTTTGCCTGCGGTTCCCAGGCCCTCCTCACCCCAAATTTTCCTTCAAGTTTCCAGATCAAACACCTCCTCCCTTCCCCCAATAAACACGCCAGAGGGTAATCAGGCTGCAGGTGCTGCATGCCCAGGGGTTTTGATGCAAGATGAGGCCACGAGGCAAATGCAGCGTGACGGTGCCACCCGTGGCAACCTTGCTGCCCTGGGACAGCGTGTGAACCTGCGGAACTCCCTGCTGCAGGACCGGGCTGGAGAAAAGCAGCGTAGCGAATTTCAAGCAAAGGGTGAGACCCTTGTGCACGCAGGAGAAGGCACCGGCAGTTTGACCAATAAACACTGCATGAACCACCCGTCCTCTGGCTTTGGGACATCAGCTAAGGCCAGGAAGAAACTTCCCGCTGCTCCTGCCCCAGGGCAAAGAATTAATAATTATTTCATCCTGCCAACCCCAGAGTAAGGGTGGGGAAACTGAGGCACAGAGCGACTCGCCTGAGGGCACCTGGCAGAGCCGGGATCAGAATGCAGGTGTTCAGGTCTCCACAGCCCAGCGTGCGGGGCTGAATCTATAATGCACAGTGCCTTGTATGCCTGGGGTACGGTCTCCCACCCAGTACAGGACACTGCTGCGACCCGGCCACTGGGTTTCACAGACCGTTGGGGCTGTTTCAGGCCGAGATGAGCTTGGAGCCACAGCCCAGACAGCCCATGCTGTGAGGCCATTTGGCTCTTTGGTTCTGCCCATTATAAAAAGCAGGGCCATTTGGGATCACATGCCCGGGCGTTGCTGCAGACCCGGCTCCGTAACAGCAATGCTGGAACATTCGTATAGATGCCCAGCGCCCCCCTGGACTCTCGCCAGCCAGTCATACAGCCCCCAAATGGCTGGGGAAGGGGGCTGGAGCTCAGCTGCCCCGTGCCGGGTTTAGCCCCCTCTCCCCCCGGTGTGGGGAACGCGAGCAGGGTCCTGTGACTAGGACCCAGGCCTGCTGGGCGCTGTAAGGACCGCCCGGACCCAGTCCAGGGGAGATTCCGGGGGGGCACAGCTGGGGGCACGTGCTCTCGGCTGGCAGCCTAGGAAGAGGCAGTGGGAAGGAGACAGGGCAGTTTGATTCAGCCCAGCTGGTTAAGGTACCAGGGCTCAGAGCTTATAGAGGGTAAGGGGGGCTTACCCGCATGCTGCCACCTTGTGAGGTGATGAAGGGAGTGAGTGGAGCGGCTGAGGGCAAAGGGGCCAGCCCGAAGAGAAGGGGCTGGGCCTGCCAAGTCGGGGGCGGAAGGGAGCTCTGGGTTGGGCTGACTTCTTGGTTTGGCTTTGATTTAAACGCTGCCATCCGGTGTTACCCGGAGGGATAAGTCCTCTCAGTGACTAACCATGCTGGGAGCCAGAGACCCGCCGGAAGGGAAACTGAGGCAGCAGAGAGGCCTGAAGCCAGGCTAGGTCTGTCCCTGCTCCAGTGAAAGCAAGAGTCAAGACTCCAGAATCATGGCCTGGAGCATGCAGAGACCAGAGCTGGAGCAGGGCTAAGCCCCTGACCAGAGCCCAGATCCAACACCCCCGGGGGAGCAGCCGCAGGCCGCCGGCTTCACGGAAGGTCACCACTCCTAGGCGGCGAGATGGGCTCTGAGCCAGCTTAGCCATGTGAAATGGGATTAACCTCTGAAGAACGCAGGTGCGCTGGGATTGGAGCTAGCCCCACAGTCAGGAAGGAGAGAAAACAGCAGCTGGTGTTTCTATGCTGCTTTCTGGCCCAAGGCACGTCACAGCCTGTGTCACTCTGCAGCCCCTGCTGGGGTGGAACACGACCACTGTTCTCCCAGGGGGAACGTGTCCTGGATCCAAGAATCTGTGATCATTGGGATGTCGAGCTGTATCCACGTTCCACAGCTCAGTTCCATTGTGACAAATCCCCGGGCAACGGAGAAGCTCGCTCACTAACCCACGTGCATAAAGGGACCTGGGACATCAGAAGCCCAGCACTCTCCCCCTTGAGCTAAAGGAGCACTCCCTTAGCTGGCAGCTATAGTAGGTCTCTTAGCCTCTGTTTCAGCCAGCCACTAGAGGGAGACTTCACCCCGTTACTTTGCACCATGCCCCTTTAGGACAGGCACTGGAGAAGAACGCCATATAGGAGCCAGAACGTACCCATCTGATTTGGGACTGGACAAGGACACCAAAAAGGCAGCAAAGCCACATGCAAGAGACAGAAAATATCACCTTTATTTTGGAACAACTGCCCTGTTTAAAGCGACAATGGAGGTCGGCCAGGGGCTCAGTGCCCCGCCGAGAGGGGTCTGAGTTCAGGGTACAGACACCAGCCGAGCGAGCAGCACACGCAGTGCCAGGCCTTCCACCAACAGACCTGCGGCAGGAAGGGATCGGCCGTGCCCCTGCGCTGTGACTCGCCCCCTGCCCCTGGGGAAGGGGTGACGCCAACAGACACTGAGAGCCCTGGCCGTATTGCACAAGGATTGTTAAAGCTTTCTGCTCTCAAGCAGGTGCGTTCGATCGGCAGGAGGCCGGGCCCCCATGGGAGAGCACCAGAACATCCTGGAGTTGGGACAAACCCACCATCCTGCAGCATCCCCCTGCCCCCAAATCTTTCCCCAAAAGGCAAGATCCAAAACTCTTTATGGAACACTCCCGCAGTTCCTCTGCTCCTGGTGCTCTCCCAGGCCCCGCCGCGCCACGCGCTGCAGACGGTACCAAGATCATTACAAAAGCGACAGCGTTCGTTTCAGTCACGCTGCCCACCAAAGCCGGCGTCTCCTTATCGAACCCCTGTCCTCAGAGACGTGCCCGCGCCCTTTCTGAGCAGACCTGGGTTCCGGGGACAAAGACTCAGGCAAGGGAGGTTACAAACAGCACGTAACTGGAGGGAATTTGCCAAACTCGCTCCCATTGGAAGTCCATCCATCCTGTAGCACCTATTCCCACATGCTGCCAGCACAGGGCCCCTTTGTGTCACCAGAAAGCATCAACCCACTTTTTGTAGGACCTACACATAAACGTTGCATTGCATAACACTCCTGCTGGGAGCTTCCAGGGTGCTTTTTTTTTTATTTTATTTTATTTTAAACGTCCTGCCCTTCCAAAGATTTGATTTCTGGGCCAGACCCTGCTGGAAATGAATCCAATGCAGAGGAGAAACGACACCCAGCTACTTTTACGGACGAGAGTAACGTGATTTTCCTTGTTTCCTCGTCCCTGTCAAAACTTGGAGTTTCTCATATTTTCTTTCGTTTACACCCAGTTTCCATTGTTGTGCCCCCAGTGCTCAAGCCGAGTGACTCTGAGGTGGGGCTGAAGTGATCGGGGCCACAGGCCGGAGGTTTACAAAAGCCGTCTGTCTTGGATGGTTTAGACCCAACAACTCCTGCAGCTCGGCAGGGGGTTAGACCAGATGACCTTTGCGCCCCCATTCCCCTCACCCGGGAAAACTGAGGTGTGGCCAGGTGAAATGGTTTTCCCACAGGCACACAGCAAATCGATGACCAAACCAAGAAGGGGCCCCAGGAGTCCTGACTCCCAGGGCCCTGCTCAAACCACTCAACTAAGCTGCCTCCAGCCTCCCTCAAAACCAACACTTAAGGGCTTTTAAAACCACTGAAAAGGGTTGTCCCCCCAGCGGACATGACTATTAAAGTCAGCCCGTCCCTATCTAAGTCCTCTGGAATCTGATGTCCTAGCTAGCCCCATGCAATGCCCACTGCTGTACCAAACACTTCAGAGGGAAGTGTAAAACACCCACAATGCACTGTTATGAGTGTGGGGGGAGGATTGCTGCCTGACTCCGGCTGCTGATCACTCTGTGCCCTGAAGCATGAGGATTGACGGTCCTTATCACTGCCCTCCCAGCCAGTGCAATCTGGGCAAATTACAGACAAGCGCTGAACCTGATTCTGTCAGGGCCATTCTAGGGGAGGACTTGATCAGCTGGCAAGAGCAAACAGGCCAAACGCCCACTTGTGTCAAAAAAAACGAGGCGCAGAGGAACATGCGAGGGGGGGGTGGCCTGCGATGCCAGCCCCGTGCAGGGGGCAGGCAGGGATCGGGCAAGCGACTCGGGCCAGCCGTGGGGGGGGTGGGGGCCTCAGGCCAACCCTGCACAGTGTCCCGTTTTCCCTTTGGGAACTAGAGGCACCGCAGGCATCTGGGAGGAGCAACAAGCCATCTTCTGCAGGGAAGGGGCTAGACATGAACACAGCAGATCTCCTCTCGCTATGTCTCTCATAGGATGGGGCTGGTTCTCCCTCCAGGACACAGGCAAAGGCTTGTCCTGGCCGCTCTTACTCATTCTAGCTAGTTCTACTTTGAAATATCCGATTCCCTTTCTCCTCCAGGGCCGGGCTGTTTGCTCTGTGCACCTCACTCAGCTGGGCCCCGCAAACCTGGCAGGTCAGTTTCCGGTTCGGTTTCTGGCAGTAGCAGAGGGCCCGTCCTCAGCATAGCAGGGGAAGGTTTATACCCAGCCAGGACTAAACCTGTTTTCACTGAAATTCTGAAATGTCACAGAAACATTTCTGTCTGGTTTAGATGTTGTAAAACATCCAGTTTCTATCGGTACATAGCTACCCACCCACCCATGCCACAAAGCACAGTGACCTTAAAGCAGTGTGACCAGATCCCTTTAAACGTCACATGTTCCAAGGGAGGCTGGTCTAGCAAACAGCAAGGTGATCTTACAGCAAGCAGACAGGAGCCCCGTAGAAGTAAACATGTTCAAAGGGCGTCTAGCAGCCCCAGGATGCGACTTGAGCCTGGAACAAAGGCGACATTAAAAAAAAAAACCCACCCCGGGCTGTTTTCCGGAGATTAGAATGTGTAATTTGCTCTGGAGATGAAAGCAGCGGAAAACCGGATTAAATTGCTGACCTGGAGTAGCCTTGGGCCCCACGTGCTTAGCTGTGACATTCCCTGGCATTTCCAAGCCATCAGACCTACGTTAGCTTCCTTGATGATGCTATTTTTAAAAAGATGCATCCAGACCCCCGCTCCTGCACCCATTGAAGCCAACAGTACAACTCCTGCAGCTTTCAACGGGGCAGGATCAGCCCTTGCCGAGGACTATTTTAAGCTAGCTGGTGCAGGTTGCAACAGAGCTGTGATTAGCGGAGGAGTCTCCGTATCCCTGTTCCTTCGGATACTAGAAGAGGGGCTTTATTTAGCAGTGAGCTCTTGCGCCCGGAGATTGTCTTTCGCATCCTAAAATGACTGCGATGCATTTTCCCCTGCACCGTAGGTGTATTGGGTCAATATTCACAATAAAATGGGGGGGGCCCTGACTGTCCCTCACGCCTCCCGGAGCGCGTTTAAAAGGGACGATGCAAAGGGCAGAGGGATAGATCTGTGCAGACAGGCAGGGGAATTTCCTCGCGGGCAGTTTAACTCTCCCCCATGGAAATTCCATCATGCTGCATGTGCAAGGTCTCAGAACTGGTCCCTGCAGAGACGATGGTTGGGAATGAGCCCGGACATGCACAGGCATTGAGCGTGCAAAAACACACACACACACACACGAGTGAAAGCTGGCTCCGAACACCGGGTCCCAACAGCAGCGACGGGCCCGAGTGCAAAGCTGACTTACAGATCTGGGAGCGGGCTTTCCCCACATTCACGCATTGCAGCTAATTCTCCTCCGGTAGGCAGAGAAACCCCAGATCGGGACACCCCAAAACTCTCTGGGGTCCATCTCTGCCGCAAGCTCCCTTGTATAGTAGTTTCTCCCTCCCCCCCCGCAATCTTCTTCTGAGCGACTCTGCTGTATCCGAGACGGCAGCTTTCCCCAGCAGTCAGTCCACCTCATCACAATCAAGTGTCTATAAACACTGCACTCTACGAGCCTGGCACGGAGAGGCGGGCTGTGTGACTACCTCCCACCCCACAGAGAAGCTAAGTCTTTCAGCCTGTGATGAACAAAGCCAGGCCAACGCTAAAAGGACCAAGAGCACGGAGGATGTCCTGACCCGAGAGAGATCCGCCAATATGGCGAAAGGAAACAGCCAACTCACGCTGCATACGGCTGCCCCAGACCTCATTCTGGTGAACCAACCCGCTGAGAAGCCACCTGCTCACCCACCTGGGATTGGCCTACTCTTCAACATGCCAAGCCGCTCCAGACCTGCCGTACTGGAAGATGACCAGATGTCTTCCTCCTCGGCTACTGCCCTCCCTTAGGAAAGTCAGGTGAGCTCCTGTCCTTGCTGCTAAGTCAGGAAACCATCCGCAGACACGGCGAGAACATTTAGAATGATCTTTCAACGTGCTGTAAAATTCACGCCTAGCCACTGCACCAGAGCCATCCCCCACTGTGACTCTGGTCCGTCCTACTGGCCTTTCTGACGGCACTGGCTTCACATCAGTTTTGAAATCCCACCAGAGAACAACAAAGCTGGAGGACAACTCGTTTTTTAGCCCTGGACGGCTGCTCGCCCTATGAGCATCACCCACTCCAGCCTCTTCTCTGCGATGACGCGTCCCATGGAAGCGTCTCAAGAGCATTACTCTCCAGACCAGCGAAGATGGACATGTGAGCCACTCTGGGACCACGCACAGCAGGAGGGTGGAGTGGAGGGAGGGTTACTTAGGGGTCCTGGCCGCTCTCGACCTGCCACCGGAGAGGATCAGCTCTGCCTGTTTCTGTTTTGTTCAGGAAAAACAATCTACATCACAGCAGCATATATCACTACCTATCGCTATGGGTCATCTGAGTGCAAGGAACCTACACCGGACACACAGGACCGACAGACATGACAGCCAGAAAATGCAGCAGCTCAAAGGCGTTAGTCTAGTACAACATTTAACATTCTCCCCAGACACCTGGGTTCCGATCCGTTCCCTGATTTCTTCTCCCGGCAGCCGGGGTGGGGGAGGAGAGCCTCGCTTAAAGCCCTTTGTTGAAGTAGACAATCTCCATGTGGGGGTTCTTCTCCCGGACCAGAGCTTGGACTTCAGGCTCCAGGCGACTCACTCGCATCGAGCTGCGGAAGGGAGACAAACCCATTCAGAGAGGAGGCAGGGAGGGCAAGGGACTTGGGGCTACCGGTTGGAGAGGTGTCTAAGGAAGTCTCCCTTGCCGTACAGGCAGGAGAATGCTCCAGTCAATCCATCCTCACCCAGCGACTCTAGTCTCTTGTTTCTGCTCACAGACGGTCTGCAAGCAGATGTGAACAGATCTCCCGGTAAATGCACTATTACGCGGCAAGTCTCAGCCTACGGGCTGGCTCGCAAGCTAGTTGCAGCCCGCGAATGGCCACCTCCGTCACGTGGGAGCGTTTCTGCTCTCCGAGTGGCTGTCTGAGACTTTTATTAAGAGGAGGAGGCAGGAGCGGAGCAAAGAGAATCCAAGACGGTGGCACAAACGTTTCCTGTGCCAGCCGTTGCTAACGGCCCTGCAGAGACCGGCTGCCCAGAATGCCCTTCTGCTTCTCTTAGCAAGAACCGGGTCAAGCGCCGGATGGGGCTGTGCATCCAGAATCACAGGGACCTCGAGAGGTCGTCAAGTCCAGCCCTGTGCTGAGGCAGGACCAAGTCAACCTAGACCAGCCCTGACAGGGGTTTGTCCAACCTGGTCTTAAAAACCTCCATAGAATCATAGAATCTCAGGGTTGGAAGGGACCTCAGGAGGTATCTAGTCCAACCCCCTGCTCAAAGCAGGACCCACCCCAACTAAATCATCCAGTGACAGGGATTCCACAAGCCGCCTTGGAAGCCTGTCCCACAGCTTAACTCCCCTAGGGTTAGAGAGATTTTCCCAATATCCAACCTAAATCTCCCTTGCTGCAGTTTAAGCCCGTTCCTTCTTGTCCTACCTTCAGTGAACATAAAGAATAATTGATCACAGCTTCCCGCTTCTCTAACTGGTGCAAAAGTGTCTCCAGGGGTTGAGGGAGCAAAGATGTCTTAAGCCAGTGGTTCTCAACCAGGGGTACGCCTGGGATGATTTAGTTGGGGATTGGTCCTGCTTTGAGCAGGGGGTTGGACTAGATGACTTCCTGAGGTCCCTTCCAACCCTGAGATTCTATGATTCTACGCGTATCCTGGGGATACACAGAGGTCCTCCAGGGGGGACATCAACTCACCTAGATATTTGCCTGGTTTTACAACAGGCTTATAGAAAAAGCACCAGCAAAGTCAGTACACACTAAAATTCATCCGGACAATGACTTGTTTATCCTGCTCTATATACTAGACACTGAAATGTAAGTACAATATTTATATTCCACTGGATTTATTTTATAATGATATGGTAGAAAGGAGAAAGTCAGCCATTTGTCAGTAATCGTGCACTGGGCCACTTTTGTGTTTTTAGGTCTGATTTTGTAAGCAAGTCGTTTTTAAGTGAGGGGAAACTTGGGGTACGCAAGACAAATCAGACCCCGAAAGGGGGACAGTCGTCTGGAAAGGTTGAGAGCCACGGTCTTAAACCACCTTCGTGCCTACATACGCACACAAACACCCCCCACCCCCAACTCCTAAGCCATGCGGTGCATCGCTCACAGCTAGGCCAAGGCGTACAGAGGGCCCGGCGAAGACCGGCCAACCCCTACCTTTTCTGTGGGAAGAGCGCGCAGCACAGCGGGGTCGCGAACACCAAGCTGCAAAAGGAGAGACACCGAGATCAGACCTGATTGCTAACGCCTCGGCCCAGGAACTGCTGCAGAGGCCGAGAACGGCGGGAACGAAGCAGCATCCCATGGAACGAGAGGCTAGGACTGGGGAAGTGCTGGCATGAGGGCCAGGAAGCCCCCCCCCCCCACCGCACAAACAGGCCCACTGCAGGAAGGAAGGACGGACTAGTGGTCAGGGCTCTGGGCTGGGACTCAGGAGAGCTGTTACCCCTGCTGCCTGGGGTGTCTCGAGGATAAACACCCCCACAAAAGCGAGGTACCAAGGGACCCCCAGTAATTAGGGCTGGATGAGACAGAGAGAGACACTGCCCCAAAGGAAATTCCATTCACCCTCCTCTGCCTTCCCCAGATGAACCTCCCAGCCAGCTGCCATTCCCCTCCCCAAATTACTCTAACGGGGCAGTTGACTGCTGACCTGAACTATCCAGACCCCTTGTCTCTGCACCGCTGAGCTGGAAACCTCACCAGACACACACTCCTGTGCGTTTTATCCCCTCCTGCTGCCAGGAGGGTGGGAAATCAGGGTCTCTTGGCACTCCTGCTTCCGACCTGACCTAGGAAGCCTCATGCCTGCCAACATCCTGCAGCAGGGAGTTCCGCAGGGAGTGTGCACACCAGGCAAAGCAGGAACAGTCTGACCACTGACTTGGTCTGAATTTCCTGGCCATGAATTTAACTGCAAAATGAACAATGACGGGGAGTGGGTGGGGAATGAGCCTCGGAAAGGGCTGGCTTCTCTTCAAAGGCTCACAGTGGTTCCGATTTGATCCCAACCGGTTTGAAGCAAACGATGCTTCCAACGCCGAGACCAGGTTAGCAAACCCAGGGGAAAGTCGTCCCCGAGTGGCTTCTTCCCTTCAGCTGGGCTGGGCGAGTTTCCCCTATTCGCAGCCGTCACTTACCAGAACCCCACCAGTCCGACCTGCAAAGGAGCGTTCAGCCAGGGGTATCGCTACACGGAAAGACAAGGGGGCTCTGGGTTAGCAAGAGGGTTATATTGATGGGGTGGTTTACGGCTTACGGGGGGCGGGGTTCCCTTGTACATCAAGGCCAAGGGGACAGTTTAGGGGGTAGGCACCATACACTGTGGCAGGCCCACGGGGCACTAGCAGGTGATCCATGCAGAGCTGCCTGCTCCTTTCCCGGTTCCCAGCTAGCTCTGAAAGGCACTAAAGGTCCTTTCTAGGGTTCCTTCTCCTCAGTGGCACTGGCAGGAGTTGGTGCCCCACCACGAACAGGGTAGGGGGCCCAGGAGACGATCCCTGTCAGAACCCGGTCCAGACCGTGACAATCCCCGGATCTCTGTGCGCACAGGGAACTCAGCCCTGCACACAGCTGTCAGGTAGGACTGGGGTCTGCTACTTCTCCCCAGAGCCACAGTCCATCTAGCCCCATCTCCTGTCTCTGCGCAATCTCGCGCTTAAGGGTCTGTCTACACCGCACCCTGACTCTGATTCAGGTTTGAGCCCTTTCCGTCCACACACGGGTCCGCGAGCGCTCAGGGCCCGGGTCCTAGAACCCTGCTGGGAGTGTGGGTAAAAGCCACTCAGGTCCAAGCCCTGTCAGTCTGCAGTGTAGACACAGCTCAAGCCACATCTCTGTGGATGCAGTAGCACGGCTGGGAGACCCAGGCCCAGCATTTGTAAGCCCAGGGTTACAATGCAATGTGGATCCTTAAGCCCGGGTTTGGAAACACCAAGTGGACAAGCCGGGTCCCCCAGCCCTGAGGTTACAATGCAGTGTAGCCATATCCTCAGATGATCTTTATACCGTGCCCATCAGCCGGACCGACATTAACCCTCCTGCCCCGTTACACCGGCAGGGGCGGGCTGGAATCCTGATACCCTCCCAGGGAGGTGGGCAGATCTCGGGGCGCTCCCATGTATCCCAGGGGACATGTAGCAACGATGCCCTTGGCCAAGTGTGGACGGGGCGCCAGCCGTAATGAGAGGAGACCCCCCAAGCCGCGTAGACGTGGTGCCATCCAGCCCCCTGCAGAGGCTGCTGGGGTGTGGCTGGGCAGGGAAAGCCCGGCGGCCCCGTGCCAGGCACTTACCTTCAGGAAGGCTCTCTTCTCCAGGGCGTTCATGATCACGGGAGGGATGGCTAGGAGGGGCGAAGGAGAAGGAAATTAACAGGCGCCGCTAACTGCAACGGGCATCTCTGGCAGGAAGCGAGGCAGGAGTTTGTGGTGCCCGAGTGCAGGGGGGCCCCGAATCCGGCCCATGCGCAGGGCAGTTCTGCCAGGGAAGTGACTCACCCATGGCGGGGGCGGCCATGCCAATCCGGGACACCACCACCTGAGTGATGGCTTGCTGGGCCGCTGCCCTCGACTCCCCCAGCCGGTTCCCGTCCTCATCCGTGACGGGGATTCCAAACTTCAGCTCCCTGCGAAAGAGACAGAGTGGGGTCCCTTACCGCTACCTGAGTGCCAGGGAGCCTGGCTGGGGCAGAGGGATGGGTAATGGGGCACAGAGCCCTTCCCCTCCACGGGCTGTGTCTGCAAACGGTGTGAATGAGTGCGGGGGTTCTCAGCCCAGCTCCTAGGGGTCACATCACTCGTTAGCGGTCTCAGCAGAGAGGTCAAGGACTGAATTCCGCCATGGCAGGTGTGAGGTTCAAACTGGCGTGAGGCTCACCATGACGCTGCCTGTGCCATATTGGGTCTGTGGTTGGCGAGAGGCTTTCATACCGTGGCTAATCTCTGGGAAATGACCATTATTGGAGTTCTATAAACTAAAATGACCCTCATGCTTCAGGGCATGTGCTGACCAGCTGCAGGGGTCAGGAAGGAATTCCACCTGTCACCGCACTGCACTGCTGACCAAGTGCAGTACGAGGAGGGTCTCACCTCCCCCTACAGCATCAGATTGTGGTTACTGCCCGAAGCAAGGTACCCGGCTAGACAGATCCATGTCCTTCAACAACATCTATTTCCCCCGTTTGCACAGAGCTGCTCTATTAGGGTGAAGGCCCCTTACCTCTGCCGCATTAAAGGAATGTTGATGCAGTTAGCAGCTGCCACGGCAGCAAAAGGCACGTAGCGGCCAATAATCGACGGTAAATGCTGCAGGGGGAGAGGAGAGAGAATCACACACCAGGGAATGAGACTACAGCAGGGTAGAAGGAAGAATAGTCTAGTGGTTAGAGCACGAGGTTCGGTTCTATTCCTGGCTCTGCCCAGGCCGGTCATTTCATTTCTCTAGGCCTCATTTCCCCGTCTGCAAAGCGGGAATAACAACTGTCCTACGTCTGTCTTGTCTGGTTAGACTCCCAGGGTGTCAGGGCAGGGGCGATCTGTCACTGTGTGGCGATCAGTGCAGCACCTGGGGCCCTCATCTTGGCTGGGGCCCCGAGGGGGGCTGGAAGCGGCTGCTCCATTCTCCGGTGGATTCCGGTTGGATCCCGGGGCTCGTCTTAGAGCCGCCAGCCCTGCTCTCCCTAACCCCGCAGGGCACGACTCCGGGGAGACCCGTGGACTTACACCCCAGCGGGAGATCAGAATCGGGTCTGTTATCGCTGGGTTAGCTGGGGCAGACACACAACATGGGGCATTAAAAACCCGACGAAGGGGGACGGGTGGGAGCAACATGCTTGGGCCTTCCCCAAGCAAGACCCCATCCTCCACCCCCAGGGCTCCTCCCAGGGCTAGGAGAGCCTCTGGGTCGCTCCTGGGGGGCCGGGCGTGGATGCAAAGCGGCCGGGACCCATTGTCTGTCCCTGCTGCCTGCCAGCGTATGGGTCCTGCAGCGTAGAGCCCGGGCGGCCCCCGTGCCAGGCGTGCTCCGACCCGAAGCGGGGCTGGGCCCCCTACCTTGGTGAGAGATTTGAGTCCCAGCGCCGTCACGACCGCCCCGGTGGTGGCGCTGACGTAGGCCGTCCCCAGCTGGCTGCAAAGGAAGCAGGGAAGTCCAGTGAGGCCGGGAACCCGCCGGGCAGCCCTCCCTGCGCTGGTGCAGTCTGTGCGCAGGGCAGCGGGAGGGGCTCGTCCTGCCAGGCTGCCTGCCCCACGGTGAACCTTTCCCTCCAGGCATGGAGGGCGCCCCCCAGTGGCCTGCCCCGGTTCTGTGCGAGAATAGCCGGGGACCAGCCCATCACCCCAGCAGGGAGCCTGCAGCACTGGCTTCCAGTCCGACCGCCCCGGGCAGGCCGCCAGGGTGAAGCCACCACGTTGCAAGCGACAGGCTGATGCTGTTCTTAAAGCAGCCGCCTTCGCGCGGCACATGGCAGTGCCATGGGGAAGGCACCAGCCCTGCCCTGTGGCACCAGTGCCCCGTGCTGGGTGGCTCCGGCTCTCCCAGAAGGCAGCTGGAGCTCCGTCTCTGCAGCTCCCTTACCCGACCGTGATGGGGGCGTCTCCGCTCCGGTTAGTGTAGTTCACGATCGCGTTGAACGACTGGTTCACCCACTGCCAGAATAACACCGCGGGGGTCGTCCTGGGGGGTGAGGGAGAAGAGCCCGTCGGTGGAGCGAGAGGCGAGGTCCCGGCAGCTCGGCCCGAGCGGACGGGAGACGGGACACAAAGGGGCCACGCGCCCACGGGGAGGTGTGGCTGGTGGAGTTAGTGCAGATCAGCCCTCCCCATCCACACCCACAGTGTCACATGGACCCACCCGCCTGGAATTCTCCCCCGCCTGACCCCTTGCTCGTCGCTCACTCCAGTGCAGAGCAGGGAAGGGGGCCTCAGACCCCTACCCCGGGGCTTGTGCCTAGCCGAGTCCCCTGCCCTTCGCTGGGGCACTGAGCCCCCGGGAACCTACCCGGGAATGTTAACCTGGTGGCGTGTTACCAAGGGACACTGCCCATCCTCCGTCAGGGCTTGTGTGGTCCAAAGGGCAACAGGCCTGGTGATGCGCTGCCGCTGATCAGACTGTGCTACTGCCACCGGCTTAAGGCCGGCAGGGGGCGCTGGAGGGCATGGGGAAGGGCTCCCCACCCCAGGGACAGCAGGAAGCACTAGAGAGGTCGTTGGGGGGTCCCTGCCCCAAGGCCAGCAGGAGGCACTAAAGAGGTGGGGGGTCCCCTCCCCAGGGCCAGCAAGGGGTGCTGGAGAAGTCAGGGGAGATCCCTGCCCCAAGGCCAGCAGGGGGCGCTGGAGGTTTTGTGGCAGGGCTCCCTGCCCCAAGGCCAGCAGGGGAAGGTGGAAAGGTCAGGGCCAGCAGGCGGCGCTGGAGGTCATGTGACAGGGCTCACCACTCCAGGGCCAGCAGGGGGCGCTGAAGAGGTTGGGGTCCCCACCCCGGGCCAGCAGGGGGGTTCTGGAGAGGTCAGGAAGGTCCCCGCCCCAGGCTAGCAGGGGGCGCTGAAGGGCACAGGGTGGGGGTCCCTGCCCCGCAGAGATAACATGCCTGTAGAAGGTGAGCATGCAGCCGGTGATGGTCATGTTCATGGGCACCTGGGCCGACATGCGCCCGATCAGGATCATCTTCTCCCCGGTGTCGGGGTGGAAGGCCGAGTCATAGATGTATTTCGCCCGCCAGAGCTGGTCCTCCGTCAGGCCCGGTGACACCGTCCCCGACCTGCGGTGGTGCCAGGGAGAGGGAGCCGTGACTACCCCTGTTTGCACCGGGGCCCCCCCACACCCAGGCCTGTGTGCCGCCTGCCCTCACTTCCAGGGCAGATCGCCCCAAACCCGCTGCTTGAGGCAGCCGGGAAAGACGTCTCCATGGAGCGAAAGCCCTACCGTGGTCTCCTTGGTGGGCGATGCCCAGCTCCCCCTGCCATCACAGGTTACATCTTCCCTTGGGGAGAAGGCTGGTGCCACCTGGTTTCCTCCTGCATCTCCCCTCCCCACGGGGCCCCTCCACAGGCTACCCGTGGGCTTCCTTCCCAGCCTCTGCCGTGCCAAGCCTCCCTCTGTCCTTAAACCCCCGAAGCCACCTGTGCCCCTTCACGCCACTGCCCTCTGGCTCGTGCCTGTGGCTCCAAGCAGTGTCCGCATACAGGGTCCAGGCAGCAGAAGACCCCCCCTCCTCTCCTGCCAGCTCCTGCCCAACCCTGCAGAGGGGCCACACGCCTCGTCGCCCCCTTCCCAGGCGGGAGCCAGGGCAGCTTGCTCAAGCCAATGGCACAGACCAGCCCCCGGCCCCCCTGCATTCAGGGCGTCGCCCCCAACCCCGCCACTAGGGGTCGCCGTGGCATAGCGGCTGGATTGCAGAGCCTCCCTCAGATAATGTGTCCCACCACCACTCCCCAACCACTGGAGGGGAAACTCAGTCCAGACTTCACAGCGAACCTGTAATTCTCAACCACCCTCCGGGCGTCTTCCAGCGTCGCCCCGGACAGCAGGAGGTTGCGGGGGTCGGTCACCATGAAGAAGTGCTTGGCTCGCCCCTGGAAAGTGCTCTGGTCCCATCGCGGCTCCCGGATGTTGATGTGCAAGGGCAGTTCCTCCGACATCCTCTGGGGGGAGCCGGCAAGCAGGGAGGTTATGAGCAAGGATGCCGCACACCCAGCCCAGGGGCGGCCCTCCCTCCATCAAAGACCCACACACACACACACGTGGCTGGAGGGGCGGTGGGTTCCCAGGTCTACTGGGGCACGGTCCTTCCTCCACTCTGGGGGAAATTCGTTCCCATGTGTCCTGAGCC